GGGGGGGGGGAGGGATATTTCGAAGCTTCCCTGTACCCCGCCCTTTCTCCCTGACCCCTTCGAGAATCACTTATCGTCACCTTTTCCGAGGTTCTCCAGCCATTTTCGAAGTTCTCCACCTCTAGCTCACCAACACTTCCACAAATGTGAAAAGGCGATCAGCCGATATAGCGACATTTCGTCCGTGTAAGGAGAAAGGTGCACGGCGCGATAGTGAACAAGTAGTGATTCGAGTTCCGATACTAAGCATAGAATGTGAGTTCTTCATTTCAGACTACTGTTCACGTCACGCCAAAGACTGCCCAGAAGACTCTCCATGCAGTTACGATCCGGATATAGGGGCATTCGGATGTGGGTGTCCACCGAATGTCATCCGAAACTCAAAAGGTGTCTGTGTATACGCTTAAGTGAATGCCGTCCTACCATTTGATAGCGCTCCTCTATTTTTCGCTCCCTATCGGTGCTTTATTTCTGATATGTATCAGATAGATCTCGAATATAATTGTACATGCTTGCCTGCCATATCTTTATAAATATTAATTATTTACCCGTTCAACTGACTTAGGATGACACCCATCTTTCAGCCGAAACTAGCAGCAAACCCAAGCTATGATATAGAAGAGATCCACCAGCTTCAGCACATCCCACCGCTCTGAGGTTTTCGTGCCTGAGATTCAGCGGAAATGTTGGTATTATGATGTTCAGGATGCTTTTCAAATCTATCGGTTCTTCATGAATCAGTAATCCACAATAACATATTCTATCATGACGACAGGCCAATGACTGATTCTTGTTTGTCAATTGTTCTGCGTCAGATCGCTTTCTTTCATAACTTACTCATACAAAGGTACCGTGATTAAGTCAGTCAATATCAAAAGCACAGTCTGCGATGGATTGGGGTACCGTTTTTAAATTGAAGGGCGGAGTAGCCTGATGCAGGCAAGTGGAAAGCGGTCGTTTGGCACGATCCCTCCATCGCGCACGCGACGCGTTGCGAGCTGGACAACTCGTCCAGGTGATCGGGCAACCCATTGCACATCCAGCTGATAGACGCCTGATCGATGAAGCCGCTACTATTAGACCCCGGTGTCATCGATCGGGCTTCTATTAGCTGAATGGGTAGTGGGTCCCCCGATTAGCATGGTCAGGATGTTGAATCGCTTGAACGAGTTGCCAGCTCACAAACCGCGTGGAATGGGCGGCGCGATGTGAGGGGCCGCGGCAAACGAGATACACCACTTTCTAATTATTTCTTCCTGCCAGGTTGTTGCTGTTAGGAAAAGAAAACTCGAGCATGTAGTATATCTCAGTATTGAGCAGAGTTTGAGACAAGCTGATCACTCATCTCCCTTATTGTTATGCAACTCGATATTGGGCAAAATGTATTAGGTGTGTGCATTACTTTCCGCCGGTTTTCGTGTGCAAAAACATACTTATTTCAAAACTAAAATAAATGTACATTAACCAATGATTGCCCATCGTTAGCTACAACTTCTTGCCATCTTTCTGGTATCTTGTTGACTCCGGGTCTAAAAAAGTCTTCATCTTTTCAGGCAATCCTGTTATCCACCCATTTTTGCACTTCTTCGGCATTCCGGAAGCGTATACTGC